TTGTACCTGGCATAGAAACTTCCAATAATGTCTTGACTTGAGAGGCCACTACTTTCTTGATCACCTTCTCATGGAAAGGGACACTTATGGCTGTGATAGTTATTAAGATCTGGGTCCAATCAGTGTTCTTGAGTTGGCACAAAAAGGAGGAAGAAAGCTTGGTATTTGCACAAGTTGTTTAGGTGTCCCTCAAAAGGTTATCTGTCATCAAACATATAATTTAAACATAAGGGATTTTTCTGCTGTAGTGGAAAGTGTTTTCTGCACTTCTCAAACTCCATAGCCAATTAGCCAGCATAGGGAACCATGTTTGTTGACTAAGTTCTTATGTGCATAATTTTCATTTTATTTCTGTGGTTCAACAGTTGGGGATAGATGGATGTCTATTTCTGGTCCATGTGTATTTTGCATCCATAAGCCCATTCCTAAATCTAGTCCATCCTGTTTACATGTCAATCTGCATTTTAAAACAATGTATGAAAATTCACATTTACCGACGTTTTCTCCCCAACAAAACATGCATTTCTGCCTGTATAGTCTCCTAAAACACATTTTATATGCATTTTGACATAAATTAAACATATTCTTATATTCATCTAAACATTTTAATGCATATTTTGATACATTTTCTGAGCCAAGAACAGTATCCCTAATGGAAAGCGGAAGGATATCTCTAATGCAGGCATCCCCAAACTCAGCCCTCCAAATGTTTTGGGACTACAGTTCCCATCATCCCTGACCACTGGTCCTGTTAGCTAGGGATGATGGGAGTTGTAGTCCCAAAACATCTGGAGGGCCGAGTTTGGGGATGCCTGCTCTAATACATGCATTAGCAACTTAATACAGTTTCCTACATGTGACACCTTTAAGAGAAACATCTATGAGTCAGAGGTGTGGTCTGGCTGAAGGAGCTGGTTAGAAGAAGAGGAGTTTGGATTTGATATCCCGCCTTTCACTCCCCTTCAGGAGTCTCAAAGCAGCTAACATTCTCCTTTCCCTTCCTCCCCCACAACAAACACTCTGTGAGGTGAGTGGGGCTGAGAGACTTCAAAGAAGTGTGACTGGCCCAAGGTCACCCAGCAGCTGCATGTGGAGGAGCGGGGAGGGACGCGAACCCAGTTCCCCAGATTACGAGACTACCGCTCTTAACCACTACACCACACTGGCTTACTGATCAGTGTAGGCTCCCGGGCCTTATCAAGAATGAAGTTTAATTTGCCATTAACTCAGCTTGTAGAGTTCCTACAAAAGCAGCAGAAGACAATGCAACAACTACATTACAATCTTATGTATTCATCTGGGAAGTGGGGATCAGGTTGGTGTGCTTAATAAATGTTGAATGAAATTGTATAGCATGCCTAAGCAGCGGCAGTGTGTGGTTTAATGTACATGTCTTAATTTTCCATTACAGTGATTTCTTGGTTCATTTTTTTTCTTGTAGCACACATAATTTCAGTTATGTTTTGTAAAATGTGATTGGTCAAAATGTTTACATCTCTGAAATCCTTCATGATATAAACAAAATGTTAGTTGATGCTATAGATACTTTAAATGCAGTATGTCATAATGGAATTAGAGGCTTTTCTATCCTGCTGAAATTTAATTGCGATCAACATTTTAATTTACCGTATTTTTCGCACTATAGGACGCACTTTTTCCTCTCCAAAAATGAAGGGGAAATGTGTGTGCGTCCTATGGTGCGAATGCAGGCTTTTGCTGAAGCCTGGAGAGCGAGAGGGGTCCGTGCGCACTGACCCCTCTCGCTCTCCAGGCTTCAGGAAGCTATCCCAAGTCTTGCAAGCCCGGCGGGATGTCCCGGGGCTCGCAAGGCTTGCGGGCAGCAGCCTGCACCCAAAAGCTGGGGACAGCGGGGAGGCGCAGAGCCGCCACCCCGCTATTCCCCGACCTGATCTGGAGGCTGGCGGGGGGAGAAGCAAGCCTGCTTCTCCCCCCCAGCCCCACAAGCTCGGGGGATAGGGGGATGGCGAAGCGCCGCCATCCCGCTATTCCCCGACCTGATCTGGAGGCTGGGGGTGGGAGAAGCAAGCCTGCTTCTCCCCCCCCCCACCATCCCCACAACCTCCAGATCAGGTCGGGGAACAGCGGGATGGCAGCGCTCCGCCATCCCGCTATTCCCCGACCTGATCTGGAGGCTGGGGGTGGGAGAAGCAAGCCTGCTTCTCCCCCCCACCATCCCCACAACCTCCAGATCAGGTCGGGGAATAGCGGGATGGCGGCGCTCCGCCATCCCGCTATTCCCCGACCTGATCTGGAGGCTGGGGGTGGGAGAAGCAAGCCTGCTTCCCCCCCCAGCCCCACAACCTCCAGATCAGGTCGGGGAACAGCGGGATGGCAGCGCTCCCCCATCCCGCTATTCCCCGACCTGATCTGGAGGCTGGGGGTGGGAGAAACAAGCCTGCTTCTCCCCCCCCCAGCCCCACAACCTCCAGATCAGGTCGGGGAATAGCGGGATGGCGGCGCTCCGCCATCCCGCTATTCCCCGACCTGAACTGGAGGCTTGGGGGCTGGAGAAACAAGCCTGCTTCTCCCCCCCCCAGCCCCACAACCTCCAGATCAGGTCGGGAAATAGCGGGATGGCGGCGCTCCGCCATCCCGCTATTCCCCGACCTGATCTGGAGGCTGGGGGTGGGAGAAGCAAGCCTGCTTCTCCCCCCCCCAGCCCCACAACCTCCAGATCAGGTCGGGAAATAGCGGGATGGCGGCGCTCCGCCATCCCGCTATTCCCCGACCTGATCTGGAGGCTGGGGTGGGAGAAGCAAGCCTGCTTCTCCCCCCCACCAGCCCCACAACCTCCAGGCTTCAGGAGAGCCCCACCGCCAGCCCCACAAGCTCGGGGGACAGCGGGAGAGGCGCAGCGCGCCCTTCCCGCTGTCCCCCGACTTGGCTAGAAGGCTGGCGGGGGGAGAAGCCTGCTCCTCCCCGTCGCCAGCCCCGCAAACTCGGGGGACAGCGGGAGAGGCGCAGCGCGCCTTTGCCGCTGTCCCCGACTTGGCTAGAAGGCTGGCGGGGGGAGAAGCCTGCTCCTCCCCGTCGCCAGCCCCGCAAACTCGGGGGACAGCGGGAGAGGCGCAGCGCGCCTTTGCCGCTGTCCCCCGACTTGGCTAGAAGGCTGGCGGGGGGAGAAGCCTGCTCCTCCCCGTCGCCAGCCCCGCAAACTCGGGGGACAGCGGGAGAGGCGCAGCGCGCCTTTGCCGCTGTCCCCTGACTTGGCTAGAAGGCTGGGGGGAGAAGCCTGCTCCTCCCCGTCGCCAGCCCCGCAAACTCGGGAGACAGCGGCAGGGGCGCAGCGCGCCCTTCCCGCTGTCCCCCGACTTGGTTAGAAGGCTGGCCCAGCCCCGCAAACTCGGGGGACAGCGGGAGAGGCGCAGCGCGCCATCCCGCTGTCTCCCGACATGGTTTGGAGGCTGGCGGAAGGCTTCCTCCTCCCCCAGCCCCGCAAGCTCCCAGAGCGATGCCAAAGCTGCGCGCAGCTTCGGCATGGCTCTGGGTCCCGTTCTGGGGGAGGGGGAAGCTCGGGCTTCCCCGCCCCAGCCCCGCGCCTGGCGGGGGGGGGGAATAAATTTTTTTTGCCTTTATTTCCCCCCCCCAAATCTAGGTGCGTCCTATGGACCGGTGCGTCCAATAGTCCGAAAAATACGGTAATAGAATGTAAGCAATTACGCTCTGTTTCAAAGAGTTGTGCTGCTGGCTCTGTGCGCTTAAGTGAGACTTTGGATTTACCACAAGTACCACAACTGTTTCATGGGGTAGCGAAGAGAAAAAAATCCCAGTGCTATACATACCTAAAGGTCCAAGTGCTTCTTCTTGAACTGCACATTAGAGAAAGGGTCAATGCACTGGTCTGATATAGCCATATTCTCATTTCCCCTTGAATTCTTGGAATATGCTACCTCCACAGTATTAAAATTTATTTGCAACAGTTTAATGGTTTAATGCATTTTTTTTTGGTGCTGCTGCTTAATATTCTTTATCGATCTTGAAAAGGAGAGACATTCAATTACTTTCTCTCCAGAAGTATCCTACTTATTACCCCTTTGTTGCTTAGGTTAATAATGAGTATGTCCAAGCAAGGACTGGAAAACAGAAATCAATTTGTGGCCACAATTCATTTTTGAGAATCTCTAGGGGCTGCCGTATTCCTGAACCCTTAACCATGGCTTTTTCTTCCTGCCCAATACAAACTTGGTGATTTTTGCTACACTGTGTTAGTATTATTCTTTGCTCAAAATTTGCCTGTGGAGCCTTCACACAAACCATGGATGCTGCTCCCTTTCTAAACAGCTTTCTTGCCCTACAGATCCATTAGATTAGCTTTTAGAATGACCCACTGGATAATCTTGACCCAACTGATTTCTTAGTTTGTAATCTGTACCATAGTCTTCTGAGTATCCCAGCATAAAATTGTCAGTTGACACGCTCACCACCTTTTCCTTCTATGTACCTCATCTTTCTATCTCTTTATCTCAAATATTTATATCCTGCCTCTTAATCACAAGGCTTCTTCAGATGGCTTACAATACCACAAAATAATCAAGGAAAAATCAAGCAGATAAACACACACAACAAATTCAGTTCAGAAGCATGCACCAGATGCTATTAAAAACCAAAGCAAAAAGCAGAAATTTAATCCCCGCCAAATTATTGGGGGGGGGGGGAAGCCTTATGGTTTGGTGAAGGCCCTGACTCTTATTGCTATCCTCACCTCAGCGGATGGGGCACTGGATAGATACCACTCAAAAGGGGCTGAGTAGTTCAGGAAGTTCATGTAAGTAGTTAGTCCTTCAAGTTTCTGTCCAAATCATTTTCAAGTCATCTATACTTATTCCCAGTACTCAGAATTTAGCTTTCCGCTTAATATGCAATTTAGCATAGATTCATCAACCAGGGTTAATAGTCCATTGCCTAATAAACTGAGTAACACTTTGGTTTGACTTCTGGACAGATAATTTTATTCACGTTTTCTCTTTGTTCTCTTCTAGGTTACACAACAGAATCCTCTGAAGTGATTATAAAAATGAAGACCTCCAGATCATTTCTCTGTCTTGGAACCTACATTTTAAAGGAATATATTTAAATCTCAAGAAGAACCTATTCTCTCACATACCTAAATTTGTTTAATTTTGATGAAAGGACAATGAGCTACTTTTGTTTTTTGTGTCTCTTCACTCTGTACAGTGAAATCCCACTCTCCTCATTTTGTTCAATGGGAAAAACCTGAAGTCATCATCATCAACTTAAAAAGAAAATTTTGTATGTCCAGATCAAGTATAATGTGCCTCTAATACATTGCCATATTATTTTCAGTAGTTGCCATCTATTTTGGTTAGTCTGATTTTAAATATATATATATATATACTGATTTGACAAAGTTTCTGGATTGCTTGTAGAAAGTGACTTTCATCCATTTGAAATGGCTCCTTACACCAATTCTTTAATGATACTAATATGAAGCATTGCATTCAACGTTGCATAGCATTGTTATCAAATGACTTGCACAGACAGTGTTTCAAGTGCCAGCGGCCAACTCACAATATTAAAGAGTGTCCTTCTCTGTGCAGAGATAAAAATAAAGTTCTGTTGCACGTGGATAGCAAACAGATGAACTTGCTTGCAGTGCTAGAAGTAAGGACTTATCACAGTGAAAGCTGGACTGGATTGTTTTGCTTGAAGAAAGGAAAACTATGCAGTTTAATGTTTGGATTATTAATAATGATGCTAGTGATGGCATCCTATATACTGACTGGAGCTAAACGTGGCCTCTTGCTGATGCAGCCAGCACTACGATATGGAGCTTTTACTAGCAGTTCAAACTTAATGGACAATGAGAGCCTCTGTGATATGAAAGACCATTACCAAACATCTAAAATGAATATTTCATATGCAAAGGATTATCCAAGCATTAAAGTAATTATTGACACAATTACTACAAACATTGAGTTTATAACTAGACATCTTCCAGACTTAGAAGATTTGAAGAAACAAGAGATGCATGTGAGTATACAAGAGGGAGAACTATTTATTGAAAAATGGTAACCTTGACCATTACTCTCTGTAGTATCTATTCAACACCAACACAGTGATGCCATTATAAGCCAATGCACTCTTAAGTTAACACTCACTGAGGAATCAAAGCAGATGCACTTCAGTTTAGGTTAACATTCACATTTAGCAAGGTGTTGGGACTCCCTATCAGTTGTATAGGTGTATATCTCTTCATTCATGCTTTTGATATGACCCAGTAGTAGATATGATTGAGAACAATAGATAGTCTCAGAAGCTGGAACACACATGTTGGAGCCTAGGGAAAGCCACTGTGGTGCTTTCTAACTTTCCTCTGGAAATATGGGAAGATCAGATCAAACAGTGAGGTAGTTACTGTAGCTGGATGATCATAGACATTCTGCTAGTCAGATCAAACCCTTAAATGAAGTGATTTTTATCAATTGTATATACAATAGACTCACAAGTTGCACAGGTCCATTCTGGAGGATTGCGAGTAAAGCCAAAATTGCGTATAGTCAGAAAAATCCCAAAACTGCCCCAGCGTGACGCTTTCTACCATTCTGAAGCTGGTGTTGCAAGTGGGCCTTGCCCTCCATGAAACCAGGCTTACTGGGTTGTGGGAAGGTCTCATGCAGGCTCTGGGAGATTCCATGGAATCTCATGAGATTTCCGATGGCCCCATGGAATCTTGAGGGAGCCTCCCAGAGCCTAGTAAGCAAGTATGAGAACTTAAAAGCTCTTTTCATGTCGACAAAGCCCATCACAGAAAGAGATTTTAAGATTTCCTCCTTGCATGCATCTAATTTGTGCAATTGCTGCTATATAAATACCAGACATGAAAACTGGCTTATCACTACATGCTTTCTCATAATTTTACTGGTGTACAGGAAACAGAGATGTGGTTGCCCCTGCTATTGGTAAATCAGACCTGAAGAGAGTGAACACAGAAAGTTCTAAGAATACTTTATCTAGATAAGTCTAATTCTTCCAAGGAGGTTTCTTATATGCAGTTTGTAGATGCTCAGGAATGTAGAGTGTTAACAGAAGTTTGTGAGTATGTGGGAAGAGAAAATTATTGGATGGAGACACGCTTAAAGGTCCATATGAACATTTTGAAGCACAATCTACTCCTTAGACTTTTAGGACTCTAAAATGCTAAAGTAATTCTGAGGGATTTCAGGAAGGTATAGAATTTATGTTAAACAACTAGAAGTCAGTGTTTCTTTACAATGAAAGTGGTACAGTTTTATTAACTAAACTTGAACATTAATTTGATCTGTGTATTTCATCTTCATTTAAACCAGTGTTTCCTAATTATTATTTCCTTGCATGCATATCTTCCAGTTTGCTTAATCTTATTGGACTTGCACATTTCAATAACCTTCAGCCAGGTTTTCCAGTGTTCACAATACCAAGCTGAGATACTGTCTTAGGTGTGACTGTTTAGGTTCACTATTAATATTGGTGAACTATATCCTTCCTGGGACGCAAGTGGTGCTGTGGGTAAATCCTCAGCGCCTAGGGCTTGCTGATCGCATGGTTGGCGGTTCGAATCCCCACGGCGGGATGAGCTCCCGTCTGCGGTCCCAGCTCCTGCCCACCTAGCAGTTCGAAAGCACCCCTAAAAGTGCAAGTAGATAAATAGGCACTGCTTTCTAGTGGGAAGGTAAACGGCGTTTCTGTGTGCTGCACTGGTGCCGGCTCGCCAGAACAGCTTCATCACGCTGGCCACGTGACCTGGAAGTGTCTCCGGACAGCACTGGCCCCCAGCCTCTTAAGTGAGATGGGCGCACAACCCTAGAGTCGGACACAACTGGCCCATACGGGCAGGGGTACCTTTACCTTTATATCCTTCCTATGCGATAGCAAGTGAAGCTCAATATGTACCTCTTTGGTTCACTTAGATAAGCATTGAACTAGGGTTATTGTGAGTGATTGCCTGGGAATTGAAATCCTGGAGACCTGCGGTCAGTCAGTAGAGACAGAACCAAGCTAGATGAAAAAATGGTTTGATTTGGTATAAGGAAGATTCCTATGTTCCCAACCACTCCATAACATTTCTGAATTAGTTCCATATAAACCACAATAGTCACTTGGTGATCTCCCAAGGATTTCTGTTATTGCTTTGGCTCTGAAAATTCACTTTGGTTTTCCTTTACCCTATAATCCATCCAGTAAATTAATCTATGACTATTATTGAAGCCATTGGTATACTGTCCAGTAGTATCATAACCCTATACAACATAAACTTGTTTCTTTACTAGGTCCAGTTTTTGCAATAGGATGCTATAGTGGAAGCAACATGAAAGTGACCTGTGTGAAGTCGGACACCCAGGTGGCAGAATGCTTGAAGATACTATAGAACATTATGTGGTGTTTCTTTTACGTTTGTGCAGGGATATGACCATGTTGGAAGAAGTGTGTGAATCGCTGTGCAAACTCATTACAGATATAGCTCAGGGTGACAGTTTCTACAACTGTAGCATCAGGTCTTCTGTTCTCAGTTGCCCATGCTAAAACAAGATGAAAAGCAGAAATGGCAAAAGCAAAATGTGAAAACTGTTGCAAATAGTCTTCAATATGTCTCCTACTGTTCAGGAACTAAAGACCAGGCTCCCATTCAGAATTCACTCTGCAGTTAACTTACAGGTACAATGAAGTACTGTACAGTGTCTACACAGAAATAAGTCTCTTCATATTTAATGGGGATTACTCCCAGGTAAAAGTAGTACATGATTTCAGCCTAGGCTTCGCTTATGGGCTAGCGTTGGAGAAAGCTGTGTGGAAGGCAAAAATTCAACAGATTAAGTGCAAGTATGGGGAAAGATATTCACATTCTAGCTGTCAGACATTTTATCACGCAAAACATATACAAATCTGTGGTCTCTTTTGTGAGTAGGTCAATGTGGCCAATCCATATACAGTATACTGGACCCAGAAAATCCTGTTGGCCCTTCTGATTGTAGTCTAGGGGTGTATGATCTCAATGCAGCATTCAGGTCACTCTGCCTGTCACTCCTACATCCCTCTTCCAGCCCCACGCCCCACCAGTCCTGGTTTGCACCCTTCTTGAATCCCTTTCCCTGCAGGAAATGCATCCTTGAACTTTGATAATGCTGTTTGCTTGTCTGGATGGATGAGAGAGAGAGAGTGTGTGAATGTGTATAGAAACTAGCCTACTGTACAATGGTAAAATTCACATTTGTTGCTCCATCTATTTTTGCTTCTGGTACCACCCAGCACTGGCATGTGGGTCCCAGAAGCCCCTTGAGCTAAAAAAGGTTCACAACCCCTCATATTTAATAGAGTGGTTGGTATGCAGAAGCTTTTGTAGAGAATTGCTGTGTTATGTAGTGTGTGCTGCTTTTCTCAAATTATTCCTTCTGTTGATGCATTATAATTTTGTTATGCATAGATGAATTCCATCTGCTCTAGGAATTAATTTCTTAAAATACAATTCTATCTATGGAAGTCTGCATAGATGCAATATTTAGGTTTAGATAACCATATCACTTCTTTTTGTGTTTAAGAGCTGGGCTTTACAAATATATTCCTCTTCTCTGCCAGCTCTACATATCCTCCTGGTCTTATATCTGTGCAACAGCATAGGCTATCGGAACATTAAAATGTCTGGAATGTGTAAACAATAGGATTATCATAACCGGAAGTGGTACCATGTTTGTTTCCTGCCTTAATGAGAGCTTTTATTCTCTGTTTTGCAGATGTTCTCCGTAATTCCTAACAAGTTTCTTCCAAACAGCAAGAATCCTTGTTGGTATGAAGAATACAAAGGAAACACTACTAGGGATCCTTATGCTACAAACTCATATGCATTGTATTCCAAACGTTTTAGGACAATATTTGATTACCTTAGAAAGGTGTTTTGGAGCCATTTGTATCATTACAAGGAGAAGCACTACCGGCTACGCTGCCTTCCCCATTTCTACATCATAGGCCAGCCAAAGTGCGGAACAACAGACCTTTATGATAGGCTCAGGTTACATCCTGATGTGAGATTCTCAGCAATTAAGGAGCCTCACTGGTGGACAAGGAAAAGGTTTGGTGAGTAAACACACTATCTGACACAGAGTTGTTTTTGCAGAAATGAATTCTTAAATCTTCCTTTGGAAGCAGCATCTCTTCATTTTTAAGTTTCTCCATCCCTACTTAGCAGTAGACCTAATGCTGGAAACCAATAGGTCTAGCCTTAATGTCTGTATCTGTGGCAAATTGCCTTGGATACACACTGGAAGTGCACGTAACAAGCCCCCAAATCAGTAGCCTAATATAGAGAAGCCTATCAGCTGGATTGATATAAACAATAGCCTGCCCTAATATTAATTAATTGATCTATATAATGCCCAGGTTGCTTGACAGCTGTGTGCAGAACAAGTCTTAACATTGCACAAATTTATAATCTGTCATCAACTAGAAAAACCTAGTATGGGTAGCACTGTTTGTTGTTTGGCCATAAGCAGATGTCTATACAAATCTGCCTTTTTGTGCAGTTCTTTCAAAATACCTGCTCTGGCTTAGGTAAAGGAGTTGATGCTAAAAATCCGTTTCAGGCAGTGCCTTGCAGTAACATGAGAGCTGCTTTTCTTTTTGACAGTTCCATGTGGCTTGATCAATACCAGGTTTAGTGGGGCTCTTGGTTTCCTGCCCCCACCCCTTAACCTTGAAAGTGACAGGTATATGCAGCAGCATCATAAAAGGGGGGCAGTTTAGTGAGCAAGTTCTGCTAGTCTCCACTGTTTTAAGCCCCCTCTTAGTATGTGAGGTCCCTGTGTAGGAGTAGTTTATTTTGTGGAGTTAATATGCTGGGTGCTTCAGCTGCTAAGGCTGTAGTGCTGGAGAATCAGTGGTTTTCATTTGCCCAAAGCAAAGGGCTCATGTCATGGGCAGCTGCCCATGGAACTCTGGTGCTGGGCCTGTGGCTGATATATGGATGATGCAGCCACAAGGATAAGGCAGATTGCATGGGTTTTCCCTTGGAGGAAAGGTGCCAGTTGCATAGAATAATAGAGTTGGAAGGGACTGCAAGGGTTATCTAGTCCAGCCGCCTGAAATGCAGGAATATTCTGCCCACCATGGGGCTCGAACCCACAACCTTGAGATTAAGAGTCTCATTCTCTACCGACTGAGCTATCTCAGAATACAGGCATGTGTGATTAGCCTGCCCAGATGCTTCAGCTGCATAGTGTTGTATAACAGAGCTTGACTCCACAGTCTGTATTGGCCTGGTTTGAAAGGTGAACAGACTTAGTGCTAGTTCCCATCTGATGATGAGCTCATTCAAGGACATAGTGACAACAGTTTCTAATATCTACCTTGCTTGAGTGCCAGTTTGGCAGGAGTGAGGGTTGGAAGCAATTACAATGATTATCTGAAAGCAGGACCAGCGTCAGCACCTGGAATCCTTGGGCTTCTGCTGATGAATGTTGACACTGACCCTGCTGCCCTTCTGCTGACGGGTTTCCTAGGATTTTTAGTTCAGGAAACAGATTTATTTTTATTTGCTTGCAAGAGTTGCAAGGATTCAAATCTTCAAATATCAAAGCAGTAGAGAATATGTTTTCATTATTTTTTTATTATTGAAAACTGAGCTCCCTCCCTGCCAAGCCTGGTTGTAGTCACTTCAGTCTGGTTCTGCTCAAGACACAAGGGAACAGTTTAGCCTCTATGGATTTTAACACCAGTGTTTTGGCTTATGATTAGTGATATAGATGGCCTAGTAGGCTGAGGTTTATACCACACAGGGGATAAGTTCAGTTGTGCACGCCCTCCCCCTGCTTCAGACAAAGCCTTAGAACGAATACACAACAGAGCTTCTTCTGTTTGCAAATTGGTTTGAATAGGAAACCACTGCTTTTCAGATTATATTCGATAATGCCTTCAAGTATGAGTGAAGTCAATCTAGTTGAAATGGACTAAATTGGTACAACTGGCTTCCTCTACTAAGGCAGTTGAAGCAACAAACTCAATAAAATTCAGCTGAACTAATTTCAGAGGGATTTTAATTGGTATGCCGTGTTCTTTCAAGCCTATTCTTTGTGGTTTGTCTCTTATACGAGTTCTATACTTGGCCCAATAAAACAACTTTTGAATTTATTTCAAATAAAATTCCATGTTCTGAGGCCAAATGCAAACAACAACTGTTTTAGAATTATTTGAAAGGACCAGGCAGGTACATCTCCAAAGTTGAGAAACTCTGGGCTTTGCCATCTGGCCGAGAAGACTATGTATGCCACTCTGAGTGGAACACAGGCATGCTAACAAGTTACATGTAACAGTATGGAAGGATACCCACAAACCAGCCTTCTTCTGCTTCTTCTTCCTCATTAAAGTTATATACCACCCTGCATCTGAAGATCACAGGGTGGCTTACAACATAAAAACACAAAATAAGAACATGAAACTCATTAACATAATAGCAAAAAATACACTTTCCTCCAGAATTCCAAGTTATATTATAAGTAGGCTTGCTTCCATATTTTGCAAATATTTGGCATTTAGCTATGGATTTGGAGTTCTGACAGGGCAGAGCACACTATAAAAATTGGGAGGAGCTACTAAATTCTAATGCAATGATGTGTCTTGATACAGCTTGGGTTGCCCACCATGCCATGCCTTGTTTTATCTGTCCAGAGACCTCCAAGGCCTTTTGAGGTATATGTCATCACTGCTATACACTAAAAGCAAGAAGCCTTTATGACTACTGTGCCTGGCACAGCACAAATAAGGTCCTTTGGGCTATTGCTGCAGCAGCATCCAAAAGGAAGGAGGCCATGAAAAACTAATTCAAAGCATGCAGACCATACCATGCTTATGTACAGGAGCACTGTGAAGTTTGCAGCCTGCTCAATATGAATCAGGTACTCACTTCCTTGCCAGTCTATTCACCATCAGGCCTAGATGTGCCAGGACCTAGATATTTTGGGGCAGCTTCACAAACCCTGGCATTATAATAAATACCTGGTTAAAACCAGAATCCTGTGGACCTTCTACATAATTCTCTTGGTTGCATTTCCCGCTTCTTTGGTCTGAAGTCTTTGTAGTTTGCTCTGACCTATTCATATCTCCTTATTCATTCATTTCTACAATGGCAGACTGTGCTTTAGTATAGAAGATACTAGGCAGACTTTCTTTGACTCATGGTTCTCATGCACTTTTCTGCCTAATGAAACAACCATAATCTAGGAAGAGAAGGAGATTCCTTTTATAAGAATCTTCCAATAAAATATTTTATTGGAACTTCCTTGTGCTCTGTCTGCTTCTGGGTTACTGGGCCAGTTCTATAATACAAAGGTTAAAGGTAAAGAACCTCTGGACGGTTAAGTCCATGCTAATTAGCACTTCCTTATTTAATGTCATCCTGTGATCTTCTTCATAAGGTTACACCATTTAGATTTGTCACTAAGAGCTTCCCTAGCAAGCACCAACGTGGCTTCTGTTACTATGTGGCCAGGATGTAAATAATATTTACACTCATGTGAAATAAATACACAATTATCAATGTCCGTATTTATGCACACATATGTATAATTGTAATTATATATTTATTCATAGTGCTGCCTTTTTCCCCTGACAGGAACTCAAGGTGGCTTAAAGAAAAAATAAGAACAATTTATTCATGTTCATGTACATGTAGACTACAAAGAACTTGCTACATGGAATAGATTATGTAGAAATTAATCATGCAACCATTCTGACTCTTTTTATCATATCCTTATTTATTTAGGGTTTTGGACTTTTTTATTACTGTTAATTTTACAATAAAAAAGAACTTGAAAAAATAATAGAATACAGTGTTTATAAAATAAGTTGAAAAACAATGAGATTGATATACTCAGAATAAATCAGTTCTTTAAATTTCAGAACATTTCACAGCAGTATTTGATAATTTGGAGAAAATAAGTTTTTTTAATGGTACTTAACCACATCAGATCCAGTTTGCTATATTGGCATTTTGTTTCTGTCCTGGTTCTTTTGACTTCATTAAAAGAAATTCCCAAATGTTATGTGTCCACTAATTCAATACCAGGTGTTGTTTTAGAGCTCTATTTCTATGCAAGCAGTATTCCTGCTGCAGCTACCATGCAAGAAAATAGTTATTCATGTTACTTCCTTGTTGAACCATCAGTATAATTGAATAACTATTGCATCTTATTTATGATTATGCTATTTGAACAGGGTCTTCCACCAAATAGTCCAAAAGGCAGAGCAGTAAACATCTCTACTATACCACTGTAGATTCCAGGCTTACTTTATTTATTTATTTTTGCTTTCAGGGATAATTCGTCTGAGGGATGGATTTCATGATCGCTACCCAGTGGAAGATTACCTGGACTTGTTTGACCTGGCTGCTCATCAGATTCAGAGTGTGTTGCAGGGGGACAATGCGAAAGACTCCAGCAAGATAATTATTGGTACAGAAACTACTGCTTATAGGGGTTTATGTTGCTGGTATGAGACTTGCTTTAATAACATTGGTGGTTATCTGTACTAAGATAAGAGTTCACTGATCTCCTCTGTATCTAGCATGTAAGCTAATGTATCACGATAAGCAAAAATGTGGATAAGGCATTTTATTTCACTTTTGTTGCATGGTAATGCAAGCTTTACAGCATCATAAAGTGTGCTTCAGCTAGTAATGAAAAGTTAGCAAACATCTTCTGAAAAAGAGCATTATAAATCTTTATTTGCACCTGTTTCAGTGAATAGAGCGCTGTTTAAAATGCATTAATATATTAGTTAATAACACTTTTTAGACGCAACATATTGTCATGCAACATAAAAAGTAAAGAGGGTACCCTCCGTATGGGCATCCGTCCGCTCTTGCGCCCATCCCTTAGGGCCGGGGCCAGCGCTGTCCGAGATACTTCCGGGTCACTGGCCAGCGTGACGAAGCTGCCTGGTAGCAGCCCAGCAGCACCGTAAACGCGTTTACCTTCCCTCTATTAAACGGTACCTATTCTCTATTGACTAGGGTGCTTTCGAACTGCTGGTGGGCAGAGCTGGTACGAAGACGGAGCTCACCCGCGCGGATTCGAACTGGACCATGCGATCGGCAAGCCGGACTGAGTTGTTACCACAGCGCCACCGCGTCTCAATGAAATGCCGTCCATCTAAAAAAAAAAAAAACAACTACAACGAAATAACAACCATGCAGAATCGATGCAAAAACTTTTGTCGAAATAAAAATACCTTACTTGCTAGTGAAATCTAGATGCATTCCATCACTATGTCCCACTGATTTAACCACAGTAAATGACATCATATGAAGCAATAAGTAATCTGATTAACTTGATGGGTATGGAAGAATATATGAGATAATGTATATGGGACTTTAGCTCTATTGTTTCCCTTAGGGTGCATTCAGCGCAGGGTTGACCAGATGTCAAAGAGGACAGAGTCTTTGCACCTTTAATGGTTGGGTAGGAGAGGGAATTTCAGGTGGTGTAGTTTGCATGAGAAGCTATACCTGCTGAAATATCTGTTTCTACACAATGCTAAAGGCACAGGTTTCCTCTTTTGCATCTGGTCACCCTAATTCAGCAACAGCACTTTGCTTTTTGGGAAGACAGCCCAGGGATAGTTGCAAGTGTGGCATCAGCAGGCCGGAAACAAAGTCTGCTCAGACTCCACAAATGCCCTGGAAAACTTTAGGAAATAAAACTTTTCATGGGATGGAGATGTAGTGTTAATAGGAACCTCCACCTGTAATTTCTGCCTGCTGTGCTGCTGTTTAGTTATATAAAGGAGCCAAATATAGCGACACTAAACATTTGCTAGGTGTAAGAGATGGGATACGTTGGATTTCCTTCAAGGGACCAATTTATTCTACTGTCTACTGAGACTGGGGAAAGTCTAAGCTGTTGTGACCTACGAAAGTTATTATGACATTATTGACATATCCTGACTTTTTAAATCAAGAAGCTATTAGGCCTCATTATTTTGTTGTGATATGAGCAGGTTCACTGCTCTTTCTATAAACAAATATTGTGCCTCAAGTGCTCTTTCTGGACTTTTATTATCAAGGACACATACAAGCTACATTTTTTATTTTATCGGTCTCTTGTAAGGGGAAGAATGCTAATTCAAACGGCTAATGTACTTTTTTTGAGCAATTGCCTTTGCAAGGAGCTGAAATTTTTGTTAAGGAAAATGTTTACATGGCCTCTTCTTAATAAAGTTTACAGGAAATCATCTGAATTAATATGCTCATTATAATGAACTTTTTTTTATTACCTTGTTAAAAATACAATTTAGTCAAGAATCCATCTATAGGAAATATGAAAATATGAGATTTTCTTAGGGAGCCACATTATTAAATGTCAAATGATTAAAAAGGAGAGATATAATTAAAACTATAAACATCCCTCTAACTTTACCAGGCAAAGTAATTTTACAATCAAAAACATCTCTGAATCAAATCTTTATTGGGTTGTATTTATATTGCCAGATGAAGCCATGGAGGTTTCAGAAACACTACACAAGACATTACCCTTGCAGCTGCAGGCATTTTAGACAGGGTTTATTTATTTTTGATCCTTATTATGATAAATTTACCAGAATTGTTTATGAAAGCACAACATGATTTTTTCCCATTAATCTCTGGCTAAGGACATTAAAGAGCCATTTTTAATGAAAGTAGGCAGTTTCATCATATGTTGTATGCTTTTAGCGTCTATGAAAAATTGGTATATTTTGGACTGTGCTGTTCTCATTTGATATATAAATGCAGCAGCGTTTAATTCATCATGGGTTAAATATGGATTCCTCCTCACAAACATTAATTCGTGTTGTGGTGCTATGGGGTGGGGGAGAGAGATGATGAAACAATAGAATCATGGAATTTCTGAGTTGGATGGGAAGTCAAGGGGTTATCTAATCTAACCCCCTGAAATGCAGAAATAATAGCTAAAGAATCTGTGACAGAAGGCCATCCAATCTTTGTTTAAAAACCTCCTTTGAAAGACCGTTCATTACCTTTCAAGTTGTCTGTTCCACTATTGAATAGCTCTTACTGTCAGAAAGTTCTTCCTAGTCAGAATCAGCTTTCTTGTAATTTGAATCCACTGGTTTGGGCCCTACCCTCAGGAACAGTGGAAAATAAGCTTGCCCCCTCTTCCATGTGGTAGCCCTTCAGATATTTGAAGATCAAGTGATTGTAGAGTTGGAAGGGATCCCAAGGATCATCCAATACAACCCCCTACAATGCAGGAATCTCAATTGTATTTCCTTTCAGTCTCTGCCCAAGACATACCCAGCTCCCTCAACTATTAAGAAGTGCATTTTTGGCTGCCATAGCCAAGAATAGGAAGTGACCTAGCATATTTCATTTAATGTCCTGGTCCTGCAGTGCATTTACAACAGTGCTCAGAATGAGCCAGTCATCTAGAGTGACACTGATCTGCAGCTTTTTTTCATTCCTAGGAGAGGCGAGTGCTTCGACAATGTGGGACAACAATGCTTGGATTTTCTTCTATGACAACAGTACAGAAGGGGAGCCTCCATTCTTAATACAGGACTTCATCCATGCCTTCCAGCCAAATGCAAAGCTGATTGTTATGCTTAGGGATCCTGTTGAAAGGTTAGCAAGCAATATTTACATAGTATCAAAGAAATGTATTTTATTCTTTTTATTTGTTCTCATGGATAGTTGACAGCTGCCCCCAAAATTGGTAAGTTGAGAGCAGCATAACTCACCTGCAACTCGACTCCATAAACACTCGTACCACCTCATTGAATCCATTGTTTTAAAAAACTTGTTTTTAATATGACTAATACAATCTGGAAAGCTATAGTGGTTTTAGTGTAGAAATGGATTCTTTAGGAAGCTCTAGAATAGAGATGGCTTACCTGTAGCCCAGTAGCCTGATGCAATCCCCCAAGACCTCAACAACATTGGTGACAGCAATAGAGAAAAGAAAATTTAAAGTAGACATGGTACGACAGAGGGCAGAGAAGTTTGAACCTCACCACCCAGCCCTGATGCAAATTGCCCCCTCACTATCAGATTGATCATTTGATGAGGGGGCAGTAACACACCTGCCTCTCCCTGTCAGCTAATACACTTAGCTTACCTTAGGAGGATGTGTGAGTGCATGCGAGAGGGTGGAGTAGCCACACCCACCACTGGCATGTGGCCCTGGACCAAAGGATGAATGTTCCTTGTTTTGCTTAGTGTTCAGAATAAGGTGAATTACAGTCTCTGGTAGCTTTGACTTCCCATTCTGAATTAATTAATCACATTTTCAATCCTCATTTCTATATATTGGAGAAACTTTGAATACCTTAAATTCTTGTGCATGATCTGGGAAAGAGTTAATACAGTATGCAATCTGAACTGATATGAGTTGTAAAATTGAACAAGTAAAACTCCCATAACAGATAATCTTTCATCTTGTTGACATTAGCAGAGATGCAGGTAACTATGGAAACTGGGAACTGTGTGGAGATCCCAGTTGCTTAGGGCAATTTCAGCATGAAAAAGGCAAATGTATCCCATCTGCTATAAGGCATGGAAATAAAGGTCAACAGGTTTTCCTCCCCTGCACAAGGTAGTGTGTACCTTGGTCAAGAGTCCACTCCAAGTTGTAGTGAAAGAAAAGGAAACACAGTTCTTCAGCCTTTGCTGACATGTACTCCTTAGCAGTAATATGGGAATAAATATTTTAACCCTCTTCACAGGATTCCACCGGCTTCTTAATATCCCTGTTTTTGGTGAGATATAAGGATTTGTTTGCCTTGTAATGCATGGTCCAATTCTCACCTTTTTTAAATGGTAAAGTGATTTATTTCAACAGTCACATGGTATTCTCTTATTATTTATTCGTAACATTTCTGTCCTGCTCTTCCTCCTGAAAGAGCCCATAGCAACTGGTATAGACAGTTTTATGGAACAATATAGCACCGTCTTTTCCTAAGGATTTAAGTAAAAAAGCCTTGATGATATGATTAAGCTCAGGTCTCATTAACTATATTCAAAAGACGTCTCATCATATGTAAAATGACAGATAATAGTAATATTATATTAAGGTCGCCACATCCAGGCTTGGCATTGGCATTTGGAGCTCTTACATCCTGGCAAGGCCCACTAGTGCTGAGGTCTGCTTTTTATAATTAGTTTGGGATAAATCAGAACAAAGCTTTAAATTTCAAACAACCATTCCTCTGAGTATATAAATCATTATTAGGAGTGGATTCCATGACTTTCATCCTTTTACTGTTACGGCAGAAAGAGGTGAAACTATAAAGAACTTTGGACATCTGAGGAATGCAGGACAGCTGAAATTCAGGTCCCAACCCCCACCTGTTATTCCAATGGTTTTTGGTCAAAGTATTGCTTATTTCTAGCTTGAAGTAATAACATTTGTTTTCTGGAAATATTTAAGTTTCCTCAGTTTACTAAAGGCATGTTCAGTTCTTTTCTTCTTTTGTGTATATTTTAGGCAGAGGCTAGCAACATATATTGGAAAGCAATATATGTTGCTCTGCAGGCCCCAGGCAAGGATAGTAAAGGAAAATATCATCTGTAATACTCAGCCACATCTTTTGATGTGAGCTTATGCACACGAAGGCAGTGGTGTCCAAACTGTCCACACTCCACCCCATAGACCCCTTGAAGATTGCCCAGGGTCTTGGTGGATCACTTAATTATTTTTTCTGCCTGTTGTAGCAATTGAAATGTGCTGTGCTAGATGCTATATGATTCTTAATTGTATTTTTATTGCTCTTTTTTCTCATATATTGTACTTCATTGTATTGCAGTTTGAATGCCATAGGATTCAGATTGTAATATAATAAAATGCAAAATGTGAAACAAAAGAAGCAATAAAAGTACAATTCAAAAATCAATACTTATATTTAATGTGATGAATATGTCATCTTCAACTGCAAATCCACAGACCATCTGGGTGAAGTTTATGGACCATAGTTTGGGACCCCCAACTGTAAGGTGTATTTGTATTTGTGGTTGTGGTTCTTTTTCTTGGTTCTGTCAGCTATGATTTCCATGCCTTCTCCATTCCTACCACAATGCTATACAGGCATTTGTGTAATCCTTGAAAAGAAAAAGTGGTGCAAGGGAGCACATAGTTGTCTCCCACAAGTCTATGTGCTCCTCCTTTCTAGCCTCATGGCACATATCTCCCCTTTTTGTATTTAAAAAGAAACAAGCAAGCTTCCCTACCACTGCAATATCACTCACTGTTGCTTACTTTTGTGCAATGAGAATACTACAGTTGCAGGATCAGAAGCTTATTCTGCTGCTGCAAATATACACTTTTCTCTAAGGTGACTTGGGCAAGTCTCCTGCATCAGTTCTGTTCCCCTCTTCCCCAAGGCTTTAATGTGCTAGCTTCAGTTCCCAAGGAATAGTCCTAAGGTTTCCTAGATAGTGCACTGCTTGTTGCCCTCCTGCCAGGTGTTTGAGAGAATGCCGCAGGTTCATATCTGCCTGTTGAAACATTAACATATCAGACCGCTGGTCCATCTAGCTCAGTCTTGTTGACAGCGACTGATAACAGCTCTCCAGGATTTCAAGCAGGAGCTGCTCCCAGCTGTTATCACTTTTTGTCCTCCATCAGCCAGTTGGGGTACACAACAGGTTTCAATCTGTCTATTAAAACTAATGGAGGCATCATGCCTGCATTGAGTTCAATGGGCACATTGGATTTTTGTGAACATTTTATTTTCAAGCATTCACAAAAGCTCGAAGGCTTTTGCGAGTGCTTGAAAATAAAATGTTCTCAGTGGAAATGCTTGGAAAACTCAAATGATTTTCAAGTGGAACATGGGGATTTTTGTTCATCTCTAACACAGTGGTGCTGGTTAGAACAGAGCTGGAAGGTCAACTCAGCAGACTGAACAAGAGAGACTCTATATATAGGAGGGCTAGCTTACCACATTTGTGAAGTAATACACATTAGCATCTAAAGAGAAGGGGGGTCGGGGTATAAAACTATTAAAGAGGTTATAATTACTTGCACCACTGGTTGAAAATAGTAACTTGTGGAATTTAGGAATGAGATTATTTTTGTAGGGAAATGATAACTTTTATCCCTATTTAAAGGTTCCGTTCATATGCTGTTTCTGATCAGCTTATACTTAGGGAGAGCTGTGGATTCATGCAAGATCACATGTTCTTTTCCTGATACAAGGGAAGATGTAAATCTTAAACTGGCCCACTGTGACATTAAATTCCTTCCAAGAAGTTTTAGTCATGCCATATTCAAATAAATGGATGAATGTATGGTTCATTCATTTCCCCCCTGTGAAAAGGAGGTACAGTGGGAAGTAGGGGAGGAAGTAAAATCTGATCAGGCTCATAGACTATTTGCCTTGTCTCATTTGTGTCCATAGGCTCTGCCTCTTTCCAGATCAGTTATTTTTACAAAATGGGAGAAAAGGTGGTAAATCAGTTTCCAGTGCCATCAGCATTTCCTGCATCATGGCCACATATATAAAAATCAAATATTAGAATGTAAATTGGCTTTTAATTTTCTTTTCTTTTTTGAAAGATAGTCATAGGGAAAACACACTACCGCCTGATGTGAATGTTTTCCTTATTAGAATTCTATTCTCATCAGCAGCACTACATAGAATAAGAGCTGTCAACAGTAGTGCTCCCCATTGCCCAAGTCACCTCATGGCCCCCTGCATGGCAGACAGTGCACTGTTGACTTGATAAATATATTTTGTGGCCTCTGAATGTTAACAGATGGTAATTGTATGCAAGAGAGCTGGATGAAGTGGCTTTCTTCTGTAAATGATCTGGAAATGCTCTGCAATATGACTCTAATATTCACCAGCTGTTGCTTTAGTGTCTGTCTCATATCGTAATATACCCCCTTAACTTGGAAGATACCAATTTTGTCCACTTGTAATGGATACAGTTTCCATTACAATAGATTGTGCTTTTTCTCTCACCACGGGATAAATCTAACCCTATATGTACTGCTGAATTGTAAATTCTTTAGTCCTGACAGCCAAGTAGCATAACTGTGCCTTGCCATAATGTAAATATTTGATGGTAGGTAAAGACCCACATGCTGGTTTCATCCTAACCTAAGGGAGGTTACACCAATATTATTGTCACTATTTATTTAATTGTTTTGGGGTTTTCTTTAAAGGAATGCTGTAGGGATGGAGAAAGAAAAACTAAGAGTCCTAAACTGGACTGGAGTTAAATATGTGTTTTATGTCTAGAAAAGTTGTACACTGATATACAGCATAGCTTCCCCCTGTAAACTAATTGACTTCCAGTCATTTTGAGCCATGGAATTCTATAATTACGTAGCTCAGCTGTAAAATATCTTCAGAGATATTAGTATTTGGCCAAAAGAGAATCTGTGTTATCTTGGGTACTGGAAGAGAATACAATGGCCATGGTTGTGGTAATGCCTAGATATTCCTAATTGGTGCTATTCCCCTTAATATTCCAGCAGTAGCTGCAGTGCACATATTTTCCTTTCCTAGAATCTGCACGAACAAGGGGATTCATACAGCAATTTATTTAATAGTTTAAACTTAGAAATGCAACAGAACACTATGGCAGCTGCACTTGCAGTTGCTCTTCTGCTGCCCTAGCACTTCGTGTGACTGTTGTGTTATGGCATGCCTGCTCACTCACTTTTCCTTTCCAATGCCTTTGTTTTCCTTCTCTTTTCCTTCTGGCATTAGAGAGACAAGCAGGCAGCTACCATGCAGCTGCATGTTTCCTTAGTTGTGGAAAAACACATTTCTGTACCATGACAACACAGAGGGAAGAGGAACAGTCACACCGTTGAGAGCTGCAGGCCCATGTGACCACCCGTGAACATTTATTTAAAGCCTGGTTCAGCCTTTCATTTTTGCTATCATTAAACAGCTTCTGCAAAATTGTTAACATAGGGAACACATCAAGAACCAAGTATTTATGCTGATAGAATTGAAATATGGAACTGTGCTTGAAAGAAATGGTTCCACTTTTTATGCTAGGTTCCATTTCCTCTGCAATCTTTTCTGATGAAGAGGCAGTCATGTGCACCTACACTTAATTGTGATAGATTATGGCAGTCGGTAGCAGCATCAAGTGAGCCATAAGTAGCAAGAGCAGCTGAAATCCTCATCAGCAAATATTTGGTTTTTATAAAGATGTCCCACAAAGCAAAATAAATAAATAAGGAAATATCCTACAACTTATACAGATTTCATTAGAATATGAGAATCTCCTGACAAGGAGTTTGTGGACACTGTCTACATGAAGTCCCCTTGCTGTACCATAGTTTAATCACTAAGCTGTGTAGGGTGTGCTTCAGCCTTTTCTTCTCCCCTGCATCTGGGAGAAGGACTTCCTAAGCTTTTCATTTTAATTAACCCTTTAGTTAGCTAACAGTTTTAACCTCCTTTTCTCTGAGGCAGGGACTGTGGTATAACTCTAATCATGGTACGTCTCAAAAACATAGGAAGTTGTAACCTTGGTTTCTGAAGCTGTACTGCTTCAATAAACCATAGTCAATGTGAACCAGGTTCCCTAGTTCAGCAAAGTCCCCCTCTTGGCCATGCAGAGGGAGGGGAGTTTTGATAGCTCAAGGCTTGTGCATAAACCATATTTTATCTGGACATACAAACATGACATATGTATCTCTAACAACTCTTGGGAAAATCAATTTCATTCCCTCTTTGGAGAAATGTTCTACCAAGAGAAACTAAGGCTGCAATCTTAATCCATATTTACCTGGGGAGTATGTTCCACTGATCTCTGAGGCTTAATTTTGAGTAGACATATATAGGATTCTGTTGTGACACACATACATAAACAGACTATTCAGGAAAAGGTCATCAGAAAGCAGATTGGTTTCAGTTAAAGGGTTTGGAGAAGGAGATAAGACTCTTTCTAAAGGTCATTGTACTTAACCAAGATATAGGCATGAGTTTCCTGTAATGGGAAAATTGGTTATAAGAATCTGATTGGTCTTTTAAGATATACATTTTAGTGAATTGTTTTTGTTTTAAAAAAGTATAACTGATAGACCATTGACAGAGCATACTGTGCTGGGCATAGTTCTGCTAATATTCAGACAAGTGATAACAACAGAAAGCACACAGAGAGAAACATATTTGAAGTTGATTATAATCAAAATGAATGACAGATCCCCAGTTTTTTGAGGAATATCCCTTGGTATCAAGCAAAATATTAGCTGTTATGGGTGTAAATTGCATAATAGTAATCACAATGCAGGGTTGCCATATTTCAGAAAGTGAAAATCCGGACAGGAAAGTTGTTAAGCTCCCCCCCCCCAATTTTTTTTGAAGCTTTTGAGCTATTTTTAAATGACACTCCCAGCACGGGTTGCCATATGTCCAGATTATCCCAGATGTTAAAGCGATTTCCGCCCTATCACAATTGTGACTAGCTTTAGTTGCAATTCTTATTTCTTGATCCTAAACTCTAGGTGGTAACTTCATGGTTATGTAAGTACAGAAAGATGCTGGCCCTCCTATAAGATTAGGTTTTAATTCTGAGACAGAATTTCATACTCACGTTCTATTTTGGAATGGATATGTATGATCATGTTGTTTATTTTTATCTGTTTAAGTTTCCTACCATCTCGAGCAAGCATAGAGAAACTGCAGTCCTCCAGATCTTGTTAGACCACAACTCCCATCAGCCCTAGCCAGCATGATTGGTAGCCCACCAACATCTGGATGGCCACAGGTTCCCCACCTGAATGTGATTAAATGGTGTTGGCAAGAAAGAGCCATCTAAATGAGCTGCATATGCCAGCCATCCTTTTGGCCCACTTTCTTGGCCACCTTCTAGCCTGTCTAACCTAGATAGTAAGCGCTATTAGCTAGCACTGATGTTACTCAAGGCAGAAATTGCAAACTTCACCTTTCTCGAATTCTTTTGATAATGTGCTTTTAGTGAGCGCTAACTTTCTTCTACACGCACATTTCTGCAGGGAAAGTGGGGGGAAATTGTTTATGTTTCAAAGTGCCGCATTTAATGAATCGGCTGGCTCCATCCTTCCTGTTTTTCTCATATCTTCCAGTTTCACAGCCAACTATTTCATGCACAGTAAAACAGGCGGCTGCCTAAGGCAGCAAAATATTAAGCACGGCCAAATATTCAGCACAGCTGTATTGTCAGTGAAATATAAGCTGGGAGTGGCACACTTTTCTGTTTGTTTTCATTACACCTACAGACAGAGCTTCCCATTCGTACATGGCTCTGTTGTTATAACATACCACACAGAGACACAGCAGTTAGTGAGACCCTCCTTTCCCACCTCTGGCTGTTCTGACATCTCTGCTGCACTCTCTTTTCCTCCTCCTCATGAAAATCAATAGAGTTTTTATTCGTCACATGAAAGGAAGGGGGGGGATATCTTTCAAAGTAAACAAGCTTGAAGCTGCTAGCAGGTGTTTTACCTTAAAACATATTTTAAAACAAAAGGTGACAGCGGGCTGAAGTAAAGTGTATCAAAATTCCAAGGTCAAGGTGGTTCCTAGGGATGAGTGTGACTTTGTGTAGCAGGCACAGGTCAGGGAAGGGGCCACAGCAGGAGGGAATCAACAGATAGTGAGACCAGAGGAGAGGTGGCTGAAAAAGAGTGTTCGGTGGACACTGGACTGGAAAAGAAGACCCTGAAGGAAGGGTATTTGGAGGTGAGGGAGGCTTGAGAGTAAGATAACTGAAGCTGGGGAATCGAAGAAAGGAGTGACTAATAAATAAGCAAGACTAATGAGAGTGGCCATGCGACTTGGATAATCAATATAAAAGTGGTAGCAAACAAGAATGAATAAGAGCAGCAAGGAATACAGTCTGCAAGGAGCAATAAGGGGTCAAGATCTGAATCGTGTGGTTCATATGGCTAGTTTGAGAGATAAAAATGGTAAGTTAGCAAAGAGAAGACAAGTAATAGTATTTAGATCTTGTTCCTATAATATTTTTTCTCATCTGACACCCCTGGCATGACCGAAGAGATGGTGGGAAGATGTTGGGAAGTATGCTCCACTAAGGTGAGGTACTTGTAGGATTCCTTTGCCAGATAGGCAACTTGGATCAGCCTGGCATTTCAGTTTAATTTTCTTTGGAATGGAGCTGTGAGACTTCTGCTGGAATAAACAAGAAATTAAAGCACAGCCTTACTATACAAATAGCACTCTTTCTTTTCTTGCCTGGACAATAGCTATTGGTTTATTACTATGATGATGATGTGGGATGGCTTAGCTGCAATTGTGCTTCAATTGTTCCTGTGTTATTTCATTTACAGATTGTATTCTGATTATCTTTACTTTGCAAGTGCTAACAAATCTGTAGAAGACTTCCATGAAAAAGTGGCTGAATCACTGCAGCTCTTTGAAAATTGCCTGGCAGATTACTCCCTGAGAGCCTGTGTGTACAACAACACCATTAACAATGCCATGCCCGTACGTACATTTCAGTTCTCACTTGATATGATTCTTAGACAATAGAATTTCATGAAGCTGGTATTATCACATATTAGAATATGTAACAAATACATTATAGAATGGGAAAAGAAAACACCAGAAAAAAGCCACTATCTTCATAAACTTGTGTTTGAACCTGGTGGTTTATATGACAAAATCTTTCTGCTTAAAAACAAATCCATCCACATAGAAGACAAAAGGCTGGATCTTCTTCTAACTTGGGGATTTAACTGTTTTTCTTTGGTAAGAAGGGAGCATTCCATCAAGTGAGCACCCAGCTAGAGCATTAATGGGTGCATTCATGTATTATCCCCTTTCTCCCCTGTGAGGAACCTTTACAGCATTTGGGGGAACATGATAGAGGTGTATAGAATTATGCATGGCACAGTGAAAATGAAGATGGGGGCATTTTTCTACTTTGCTCAGAACACTGGTCTAGAACAAGAGATTATCCAATGAAGCTGAATGTTGGAAAGTCAGAAGTACTTCTTCACACAATGCATACTTAAGATATAAAATTTGCTGCCACAAGATATGGCTTTCAAAGGGGATTAGACAAATACAATGGCAGTGCGCCATGGTGGCTGCATGCTGCCTCCAGTATTGGAGGGCAGCATACCAGCTGAGGGAGAAGTATCACCTCCCTGTTGGGCTTCCCTGATGCATGTATGCCAGGGTTGCCAACTTTTCTGGGTCCATGGGCACATTTGCAAACCAGATAAACTGTTGTGGGTACAATGGATGTGCTGCAGCTGTATACATGAGCCCTGCAAGGATGCACAACACATGCACACTCACTTTCTCCCCATCTCCATTTAGGCTTTAAAAATGTTTTTTGCTGTTTTTCAAGCCTAATATGGGTGCAGAGGCAGAGATAAGAAGTTAACCTTCCAAAGTCTAATTTCGGGAATGGGAGCCCTCTGCTATGGTGACCCACGAGTATGTCACATTCCTCAGTGGCGTAGCGTGGGGGGTGCAGGGGGGGCCGGCCGCACCGGGCGCAACATCTGGGGTTAGGGCAAATCCACAGGTTAGGGGGCGCAAATCCACGGGTTAGGGGGCGCAAATCCACGGGTTAGGGGGCACCTTGCCCCGGGTGCTGACAACCCACGCTACACCACTGACATTCCTGCAATAAAGCTGTGCCTTGCATAATCTCACTTATTGTTGTCTGCCATGGCCAATTCATTTGGAGTGTTTTCTTAAAACAATAATTTAATTTGTTCTTCATTCTTTTAGGTAAGGCTCCAAGTTGGTCTGTATGTTGTTTTTCTCTTGGACTGGCTGACAGTTTTTAATAAAGATCAAATACTAGTTCTCCGCTTGGAGGATCATGCATCCAACGTTAAGTTTACTATGCACATGGTGTTCCAGTTTCTGGATTTAGGTAGGAAATTTTCTGACCTTTCTGATTAAAGCACATTTAATGAATTAGCCCTGTTTTTCTAAGCCTTATGCTGCAGCCCCCTTCCTAAATCTGCTCTCAGACAGGCCCAGGTAATTGCTCTGTAATTAGATCACATATATTCAAATTTAAAGAAAAACAAATTGCTTAAATTTAGCCATTCTTTGTCTTTTAACCAAGAGGTATGCTATTTTAAATTTAATTTTAACCCACAGGTTCATGTTACCTTTGGGTCACTTGGCACATGCTTTCCTATACAGATAGTATAAGAATATTGCATTTCAGAATGTTGCATGTTCATTGTAAGAACTGGCAGATGTACAGACTTATGAAGCAGTGCAGTTGCATCAAGTTATGGCTGCACACTCGCCCCATCCACATGGAGCAATTTAGTGATTACCGTATTTTTCGCCCTATAGGACGCACTTTCCCCCCTCCAAAAATGAAGGGGAAATCTGGGTGCGTCCTATGGGGCGAATGCAGGCTTTCGCTGAAGCTTGGAGAGCGAGAGGGGTCGGTGTGCAACGACCCCTCTCGCTCTCCAGGCTTCAGGAAGCTATCAGCAAGCCTGGGGAGCCCGTAGGAGTTCCCGCAGGGCTCCCTAGGCTGCGGATAGCAGCCTGCTCCCCAGAGCGCGGAGCGCGCTGAAGCAGAGCGCCACGCACTTTGGGCAGATATCCGAATAGCAGCCCGAAGCACCTACTATTACTAGCCCCTACTACGGTAGGTGCGTTTTTAAAAGCTCGGGCTTCCCCCGCCCCAGCCCCGCGGCTGGGGGGGGGAATAAATTTTTTTCTTTATTTCCCCCCAAAAAACTAGGTGTGTCCTATGGGCCGGTGCGTCCTACAGGGCGAAAAATACGGTATCTATATCAAAAAAAGCCTTCAGTGAACCATTTCTATGTGGAAACTGATCAACATGTGCTGCTATGCTAAATAGGAGCCTTTAGGTCAGGCTTGGGAATCAGGCATGGGGAACCGTGGCCCACAGGCTAAATTGGGCTAAATTAGGCCCACCAGGGATTCTAATTTGGCCCATGAGGCCATTTTTCCTTTTGCCGTGTCCACCTGCTGTCATCTGTGGGTAAGGGAAAGCTGCAACTGCAAAGGAACAATCGGAAGCATTTGAATGTGGTTCCAATTGTTCCCCGAAAAATGGGACTTGGGTTTGGTGTTTGTTTGTTTTTTTTTGTTTAAATGGCACCAATGCAAGTCCTGCTGGGAACTGCTCCACTTAGGAGCTCCCAAGTGGAGCTGATTCCTGGGCTTGTATTCAGCTCCACCCAGATGTCAAAGTGGCCTACCTCTGCTTTAGATCATCAAAAGGTTGCAGCATGTAATATATTTCAAAAGTGAATTGCTATCATTTTTGCATGAGGGTGTGCTGGACCTCTATGCATGAGTGACATAAATGCTTCCTGACATCAGGAGCTCCATCATAAGAGGATAACTTTTTAGAAAAAAAGGAGAAAGAATGTACATTCATGATTATTTTATGCTAAATTGTTCCGAGAAAACAATCAGCCATAAGGATTTATTCTGTTTGGATGAAGGTTGGTTTAGACATTTTAAAAATAGATGAACAATTCATGCTGCTTACGATGCAAAATGATTTAAGTGATACATGGGGGACGGAATCATCTTATGTTTTAAATGCAGTTAACTTTTAAGTATTTAAAAACTGTCTAAATACTACAGAACATAACCTGGAGTAGAACAGTTGCATTAAACTTGTATTAATATGTGGGAATTAGGGTGTTGAGCTAGAACAATCCAGCACCAGCAGGGAATTATTTTTTTTACATGGTGTAAAGAAAGAAAAGAACATATATTTACTTAGCATGGCTTGTACACTACAGCTTGCAAGTGGAACAGGAGTCACACTCTTCATGTTTTCACATGGTCCCTTTGCACTAACATACCTTGGGTTGTATCCAGCTAAGTTCTATTCAGAGTAGACTCACTGAAATTAAAGGCCCAAAGTTCTGTCGCTTATTGCTACTGCAGTCAAAAATGGCTAGAACCCCTATTTCTCAAGCTCACGTTCCTATGGGGCAAACAATTTTCTGAGGTTAAATGCATGCAAGCATTCAATATGCATGAATTCCCTTCCTTAAAGAGTGGGAATGTAAGTGAAAATAACCAGAGCCATTGTGCAAGAGAAGGGGAGAATTAACCCTTTCCTCACATAATGGAGTCGCACTGAAAAAGGTCCTTAATGACAACTTCAAGGAGCACAAGGCTATCAGTGGCTACTAGCCATGATGACAATGTTTTGTCTCCACTGTTGGAGACAGCATGCTTCTGAATACCAGTTTCTGGGAATCACAAGTAGGGAGAGTGTTGTTGTGCTCAAGTCCTGCTTCTAGGCTTTCCACAAGCATCTGGTTTGCTACTGTGAGAACAGGGCACAGGAATGTGCCTTTGGCCTGATCCAGCAGAGAGCTCTTCTTCTTCATATATGTTCTTTCCAAAGCTGCTATATTAGCCCTAGCAGAGAAGTTTCCATTGGCATCAATAGCAGTTGCCGATGGGGGTTTTTTGGTGCATGTACAGAAAAGGCTGGGGCGCGGGTGGCGCTGTGGGTTAAAGCCTCAGCACCTAGGACTTGCCGATCGAAAGGTCGGTGGTTCAAATCCCCGCGGCGGGGTGCGCTCCCGTCGTTCGGTCCCAGCGCCTGCCAACCTAGCAGTTCGAAAGCACCTTCGGGTGCAAGTAGATAAATAGGGACCGCTTACCAGCGGGAAGGTAAACAGCGTTCCGTGTGCTGCGCTGGCTCACCAGATGCAGCTTGTCACGCTGGCCACGTGACCCGGAAGTGTCTCCGGACAGCGCTGGCTCCCGGCCTATAGAGTGAGATGAGCGCACAACCCTAGCCGTACGGGCAGGGGTACCTTTACCTTACAGAAAAGGCTAAGCTTCCTCTCTACATTCCTTGGGGCTGTATCTTGCTTATCCCTACCAGCCGAAAAGAACAAAAGAACAACAATTGAAAAACCAAAATCTTGTATAGTAAATGCTTGCAAACATTTCATGCCATGTATAGTTTGGTCCTAATAGAAGGGATGGTGTGTGCTTCGGGCACTGCCAAGAAGTCATGCTTCCTGTTCAGACAACAAGCTATAATGTCCAAAAGCCACATTCATACATCTCATGTCACTTAATTTGGAAATGTTTGAGGAAATTCATAACAGAAAGCTATACAAGCATATTTTGTGGTTATCTTTTCCCTTTTCTTAATTTTACTACAGGTGCTCTAAGTGAAAAAGAAGAAGCTCTAATTACCAAAAGTCCTGCATCAAACACTAGGAGGCCTGAAGATCGCAATTTGGGCCCTATGTTACCTATCACAAAGGAAATTCTACGAGATTTCTATCAGCCTTTCAACACAAAACTGGCTCAAGTTCTTTCTGATGAAGCTTTTTTATGGAAAAAATCCTGATGTGTCAATTCCAGTACCACAAACACAGTGCTTGGGATTATTTTTAAATCTTGTTTTCAGGTGTAAGCAATTGCCCACTTTGAGACCAAGCAAGCCTACTGCAGTTAAATCTTTGTCTCCACGTTCAGCATACAATATGTCAACAAAGTTATATCAGATTTGCCATAGAAGAACATAAAGCTCTATCAATGTCTTTTGTAAACTTTTCTCTCTCTCAGCAAACAGTGCGCCAATAGCCTTGATATGAAGCAGTCTCGCATTCTGTGGTTATGGTTTTTGAAATGCCATTTTTATGCTATTGTTACAGTACAGAAAGCACTAGCCACCTAAAAATGCACATTCATTCTAATTTTTAAAATATGTCTCGCGTTCTTTTGAAACTATTCAAAACAGCTTTTTAACCATTAAAAGTTAATTGATTTTCATCTGGAAGTCTGTTTTTAATTTCAACAAACTCTTCAATATGTGTTCTCTTTGCCCATAATAAACCTATTGAATCTGCCTGAACTGTGTAACTTAATTCAAAACCAAGTAACTTTTTAATGGATGATTGTGTTTTAGTAAGCCCAAAGCAGAATGAATCCTTCCCCTGTAACAGTGATCAAGAGAAGAATTTTCTCAATGGTGACTTACTCTAAAATATTAATTGAAAAGAGGGCTGACTTTCAAGCTGATGTAAGAATATGATCCAGTCATAATAAGTTTACAGTGGTGCCCTGCAAGACGAAAAACTCGCTAGACGAAAGGGTTTTCGGTTTTTTGAGTCGTTCCGCAAGACGAATTTCCCTATGGGCTTGCTTCGCAAGACGAAAAAACCGCAAGACGAAGAGACTCGCGGAAAGGATTAATTTCGTCTTGCGAGGCACCACTGTACAATCAAATAAAATAAAACAAGAGGGAGGGAAATTATAGCTTTGCTTTTTGTTTGGTATAGTTATGTGCTGTTTCTGTCCCTATGCAGTATGGGTCTCATCCAAAAGCTATTGAAAGTACTGGGAGTTTGACTTACAGAGCAGATCTAGCTATAGAATTACAATATTCCACTGAAGTGCACAGCCTAAAATCCTGATGATTAGGCCTGATGATTAGCTTAGGCCAGGTGTGGTCAATATTTTCAGCCCAAGGGCAGCATTCAAGAATGGCCACATGCTAGGACAAAGTGGTTTGGGCCACCAAACATGCACTTGCTCTAACTTGTGCATGCATACACACAGAATACAAATTCGCCACACATACCCATACACACACAAATTCATGCATACACATATTGAGTTGACTTCCCTCACTATCCATTCTAGACCAATGAGCTTTTTGATTAGCTCCTTGAGCCTTCCCCCCAAGGAACTTCTCAGGGTCCAAGTAATCCATTCTGAAGTAGTACTTATTCACATTATCTCCCCCTCATGCATGTGAAGCCCTATCTGAACAAGGGTTTGAGACCCATTGGTACCCTCAACTGGTTTAGTCAAAGCAGTTTCCTCAACTGGTTTAGTCAAAGCAGTTTGCTGGGATGTGGCCTCTGTCTAGGAGCCACAGGTGAGAGTTGAGTGCAGGGTGCGAACCAAAGATAGATAAACTACTCTAGAAGGAGCACAATGAGTCCCCCACCAGAGGTACTACCCCTCCTCAACACCCCATATGCCCTTCTCAATGGCTACTAGTTAAAAAAATGTTTTGCATGAGAAAGAAAAGAAAGAAAAAGAAACTTTCCCCAGAAAGGACTTAATGGGAGTAACACATCACAGCCCACAGTAAAGCAAAACGGTACCAAGCTTTCCCATGGAAGGGGGCAGGATGCATATCTGAGATTTGTATCTGATACAAGCTGTTGTGACTGCAGTAGCAATAAGCGACAGACCTATGACTCTCAAGCCGACTCTCTTATTGGCTTCTCAACCACAAATGCTGAGGCTTAACTACTCTGAAAACCTCTGAGGGTTCCTTTGCACACCTTGCCTGTCAATAGCAGAGTGGTTCCTCCCCCCCTCTTTTTGCCACCACAAACATTGCATTATTGGAGGTCTTGAGGACCACCACATATCACTTAGGCTAAATACAGCCTGTGGAGTAGACACCCCTGGGCTACACAATCAAACAATGTGCAAGCTAGGCCTACACCACAATTAAGATAGCTGCCATGAGACCTAGCTTACATCACCTTAACTAGCTTACTGTACAATCTATGCTCTCCCAACAGCAACATCATTAATAATTATGGAAAAAAGAGAGGAAGTATCAACACTGGCACCCACCTAGCAATGCAGTTCTCCACTTGGCTTTCAAAGAGATGGGGATGAGTGGGCCCAGGAGGGAATGAATGATCATCGGCTGCCTTCTCACACCACTCCCTCAGAAAGTGTTTCTTGTCCCCAGGAGCATCTAGGAAGCTCAGCCCTAGCCAGTTAGCTGGCACCTCAGTAACATACAGTACATGAAAGTTCTGAAAGACAAAAAGAGATGGAGAATTTGTCCACCTCCCCCTAAGGTATTGATTCCAAAATGGAAAGGGAATATTAACTGTAGCATTCAAAATACTAATGCAAGCACACTGGGAAGATCAATTTTAACAGATAAAAAGTATTGCTGCCAAGCAGGCACAGATAAAAGCATATCGCACACTGCAAAAACAACAACAACAAAACCAAACCCAAAACAAAACAACCACCATCACCATTAACTCCAAAGGAAAACAGGACCCTGGAGCAGTGTGATGAGATCTTCATTGTAGACATTCGTTCTTGAAGCCTTCCTTCAGTATCTCCCTCCATTACCCCTCCCCTCTCCCTCTCTCACACCCCTACCCAGGAGACTCTCATCCATTTTGTTATATTTTTATTTCCATTTTCTCTCCTACAGTTCACACTTTGCTTCTTGGAGACTTCTTTGAAAGGCCTCTTTCCTTCATTATTATTGCATAGAAACCCAGGGATAGCTAAGAGCATGGATCCCACTCAAGGGGAAAAGCAAAAGCAGACAGGTAATATTTCTTGGAGTGCAGCTGTGGATTAAAGGTATGGGAGGATGTTGAGGGTAATTCTCTGCAGATCTCACACATTCCTCAGCATCTTTGTTAGCCATGACACTATAGAGCCATCATAGGGACAACCTACATGTTACATAAAGTCCTTGTGCAACACATGTTTATGACTTGCCTGCTCTCCTTTGTAAGAAAAGCAGCTGTTAAGAGGGGGTGGGGGTGGTTGGGTCAAGACTGGATGGGGTTGTGGCATGTGGGGTAGGGGGGTTAAATCCTCCCCCCAGTTTCTTTACCGCCAACAAAGACATCTAGAATGTGCTATTTGCTTCATCAATACCTTACGGGGCAAAAAGCACCTGGAGGGAGGGTGATTTTAGAGAGGGAGCAGGAAATGGGGGAGAGGGGAGGTTAATTCTGCCATGGCCCTCCTGCATTCGTTAAGGGGCTGAAGTGGCAGAACCTAACTGAATGTTTAAACAGTGTGCTTCATATAATGGGCAGTTTGGCCATTAGGCTGCGGTTCTACTTTTCTGCCAAATCTCACACCAAGTTATGTGACTCAGCCCATCGTGCATGGAAGAGAATTGAAATAGATTAGAGGCTGAAAAAAATAGATGGGCCCAATGCATAGCGAGTTCTGATGATGCACCACTAAACGTAAGCTCAGGGGTGTGTATTTGCTTAGGGATCTGGTGTTATAGGGAGCAATAAGGGGGCAAGCCTAACTTCTAGACCAACAAGCAGCAGGGCTGAACAAAATGGTGGAGCCACTGCCATATATGAAGCCCCACTGCTCATGCCATCTAGGACAGAAGCCTCCCTCCCAGATTTTTTTGCTGTGCCAACTCCAGGCTTAAGAGCCAGCAGATCCTTGGGTGGCCCAACTCTTCTTCACCCTGCCTCCATTCCACTGTAGTTCAGATGCACGCCCTGCTGGCAGAGCTTAGTGGAGTCAAGTGGATGTATCCCAGATCTCTCTCCAACCCACACTACTGGTCAGGATAGTCTGCCCTGTATATATATCTCTCTATATTATTTATAACATTTCTGTGAAAGAATGATACCCAAGGCAGTGTACAATCAAACCAGCCCTGAGTAATAAAACACAGCAAACAAGAGCAATATTTCCACCAAACACCAACAAGCTGCAGAGTAAAAAGTTTTAACAGCATGCCTACAATTACGAAGTCCAGTTGCGTAGTGAGTTTCTTCCGGGAGGTTATTCACCAGCCCTGGGGCCACCAGTGAAAATGGGTGACCCAGGGCCTGCTTGCTCTCCTTTTACAAAGAGATCATAAATGTAAGGGAAAATTTCCCCACAAGTTCTTAAAACTACCTTGCCAACATTATATGTCCCATGTTTTGGTACTTGTTTATGGTCAAGGAGCACGTTCCCATGAGCCTCAGAGTTTTGACCATACTGTTCTCAAGGGTAAGGAGATAATGAGTAACCTACAGGGCACTGCAATCTGGTTTGGACTAAGACCAGTTGAACAAATCCCAAATATCCCAGCAGCATTATCATTCAGAGTGGCGCTTTAGCCTAAAAGACCAGCATTTCCTGGACCAAGGTTTTGCACCATTGCCAGAGTACTTGTCAAGCTTCATACGTTGTCAAAATACAAATTAATTAGGACTTATCATTTAGTTCCACTAATTTCTCTTTAACTGTGGGAATCGAGGGGAAGCTGAAGATAACATAGATTCAGGAAAGGGTGGATTTCAAAACATCCTCTAACCTCTTGTTTTGTGCCTTTAGTAGCAAAAAATATTTTAGTAAAGCTTTGCAATATATCTATGAGTTTTGGAAAGCTGGAAGCAGAAACAGAGTATAATCATACCACAAAGAAAAAATTAGCCTTGAACCAAGACAAACTGACTTTTATATTTATGTAGAAAACAAGGCATTGTTGCCTGTTGATCCCAGGGCTCAGGCATGTCTTTTTTCAACCTAATAATCTCAAGATAAACAAAGAAGTTCCTTCAAGCTATGCATCTGTCACCTTGCCAAGAATTAACCAAGTTTCCCAACTAAGCCAGAGGCATTTTGTGTGTGTGTATAAGAAGACACTAAGCTCTTTGCAAGAAAGCAATTTACATTAGATACCTTGTCCAGATTGAGCACGTACATGTGTTTAACGTTACCCTGAACAATGTCTGTCCCTAGTGAAAGCACTATCTTTTTCTGCTGGCCTTTGAAATAATAGATTAAAAAGAGGAAAGGCAAGTGCTGTGCTGCCACCTTGCGTTCATGGATAACACTGTTCTTTGCAATAAGTTTGCAAAACAGATGAGTTTCTTCTCTGTTACTTCAAACTCTTTTTTTGACTTTCTGAAATTATTTCAAGTAAGTTTAGATCCATATGGTGGAAAGGAGGTTGCTGTTTCAATATTCTCTGGACTCTTCAACCTAAATATAGGACATTTTTGTCACAAAAAGGGTGGGTCTGCACTACAGCCATGAGTACTGAAAATTGCTGAATTGTCATGTATCATATTAGTTTATATTCTATTGGTTGCATCC